CTACAAGAGACTAAAAGGGACCTACGTAAATGAAAGGACATTCTGTGCTTATGAATTAGAAGACTTACATTGTGAAAATGTCAATACTACTCAAAGCAATCTATAAATACAATGCAAATCTGATCCAAATTCCAACAGCATTCTTTACTGAGATGGAAAAACTAATCACCAACTTTATATGGGAAGGAAAGAGGCCCCAAATAGCCAAAGCAATACTGAAGAAGAACAAAGTAGGAGGACTCACACTCCCTGATCTCAAAACATACTATACAGCTACAATAATCAAAACAGCCTGATACTGGCCCAGTGATAAACACACAGGCATGTGGAATAGAATTGAGAACCCAGAAGTAAATCCATTCATCTATGGACACCTGATTTTTGACAAGGGGTTAAAATCTATTCAGTGGGGAAGAAACAGTCTCTTTAACAAATAGTGCTCGCAAAACTGGAAATTGATTTGCAGAAAAATAAAACAGGATCCATATCACACATCAAACACCAGAACTAATTCAAAACAGATCAAAGACCTAAATATTAAACCTAATATAAAGTTCTTGGAAGAAAACATAGGACAAAACTATGGGATCTAATTTTTTTTTTAAATAAACTATCAAACACAACTATAAACGCACAAACAGCAGAAGACAAATTAGATATCTGGGCCCTCCTAAAAATAAAATACTTACACTCATCAAAAGCCTATCAAAAGATTTTTTAAAAAACAACCTACAGACTGGGAAAAAAAAACCTTCAAGAATTACATATCTGATAAAGGTCTAATCTCTAAAATATATAGAAAACTTCAACAACTCAACAACAAAAAGATAACCCAATTAAAAAATGGGCAAAGGACACAAACAGACACTTCACCAAAGAGGACATTCAAGTGGCCAACAAACACAAGATTCTCACGATCACTAGCCATTAGAAAGAGGCAAATCAAAACTATGATGAGATATCACCTCACCCCTGCTAAAATGGCACTGATCAAAAAAACAGAAAACAGCAAATGCTGTGAAGGATGTGGGGAGATTGGAACCCTTATCCACTGCTGCTGGGACTGTAAAATGGTACAATGATTATGGAAAATAGCATAGCACTTCCTCAAAAAAAATTGTAACTAGAACTACCTTACGATCCAGCAATCCCATTCCAAGGTATATACCCTAGTGACCTAATAGAAATGACACGAACAAACGTATGCGCACCTATGTCCACTGCTCTCATGGTGGCTCAGTGGTTTAGCTCTTAGCTGCTAACCAAAAGGTTGGTGGTTCAAACCCACCAGTGGCTCCACGGAAGAAACATGTGGCAGTCTTCTTCCATAAAGATTACAGCCTTGGAAATCCTACGGGGCAGCTGTATAATGGATCCCTGGTGACGCAGTGGTTAAGTGTTCAGCTGCTAACCAAAAGGTCAGCAGTTTGAACCCACCAACCATTCCATGGGAGAAGGGTGTGGCAGTCTGCTTCTGTAAAGACCACAGCCTCGCACTCTTTAGCCACAGATTAGACAGGCATATAAAACAAACAATAACACACATAGTTCAACCATGTATATGAGACTAAATGAGCACACCAACCCAGGGGTAAGGACATGAAAACAGCAGGGATAGGAAAGCTGGATGAACGGAAATGAGGAATCCAAGGTCAGGAAGGGGAGAGTACTGACATGTCACAGGGCTGGCAACCAATGCACAAAACAATACATGTATTGTTTGATGAGAAACTGATTTCCTCTGTAAACTTTCACCTAAATCACAATAAATATATATATATATATATATATAATTTAATCATAGATTTGAAAAAAATTTAATCATAGGTTTAAAAACAAAAAAAAAGATTACAGCCTTGGAAACCCTAGGGGGCAGTTCTACTCTGTTCTATAGGGTCACTAGGAGTCGGAATCAACTTGACAGCAATGAGTTTTTGGTTTACGTTCACTGTAGCACTATTCACAATAGAAAAAGATGGAAACAACCCCAGTGCTCATCAACAGATGAATGGATAAACAAATTGTGGTACATGCATATACAGTGGAATATTACACAGCCATAAAGAATAATGATGAGCCCTAAAATATAACATGGATGAATCTGGAGAATATTATGCTGAGTGAAATAAGTCAATCACAAAAGGACAAATACTGTATGATCTCATTTCTATAAAATGACGAGAATAGGTATACATACAGAAACTAACATTCATTAGTGGCTACCAGGGATGGGAGGGGGAGGAAAGGTGAATCACTTTCTAGATACTAAACCCACTGCCATCGAGTTGATTCCAACTCATAGCAACCTATAGTGTCAAAATATAACTGCCCGTAAGGTTTCTAAGGCTGTTATCTTTACAGAAACAGATTGTCGCATCTTTCTTCCGAGGGCTGGTGGGTTCGAACCATTAACCTTTCGGTTAATAACCAAGCACTTACCCACTGCATCACTAGGGCTCCCTCTAGATAGTAGACACTAATTATATTTGATGATGGGAAAGGTAACACCAAATGTGGGGGAAGTATGCACACCCTGACCAAGGTAAATGATACCACTAAGAAGTATACAAGAATCAGGGATGTTTTTGGTAAACGCTATAACATACACAATTTTGCAGCAACAGCACAACAACCAAAGAACACGCGTACGGTTACATATGTAGGTGTGTATGCATATATGTGTACAGGCAGGTATATGTGTGTATATACATGTATACGTATAGGTGTATACATAGGCATCTTTACATACATGAATGTGCACACATACACATTTATTCATATATATAATAAAGCCCAGAGGGGACACAGTTACAGATACTTCTTAGACATAACCAAACACCTTACAGGATTGGTTTAGTGAGCGTGAAGGCTTAGGACCATAGTCTCGTGGGACAACTGGGTCAACTGGCATAATCTAGTTCATAAACCTTATGTTCTACATCCTAGTTTGTTGAGTAGCGTGTGAGGTCTTAAAAGCTTGCAAGCAAGCCCCGTAAATCCAAACGAGACTAATGGGGCACAACAGTCCAGGGACAAGAACTAGAAGGCAGGAGGGGACAGGAAAGCTGGTAATAGGGAACCCAAAGTTGAGAAGGGAGAGTGTTGACATGTCTTGGGGTTGTTAACCAATGTCATAAAACAATATGTGTACTAACTGTTTAATGAGAAACTACTTGTTCTGTAAACCTTCATCTAACGTACAACAAAAAAAAAAAAGAGGGGAAAAAAAAAGCTTGCAAGCAGCCATCTAAGATACAGCTATTGGTCTCTACGCATCTGAAGTAAAAGAGAAAGAAGGAAACCAAAGACTCAAAGAAGAAACAGGTCTACATGAACCATCGACCCTGAGACCAGAAGAACTAGATGGTGCCTGGCTACCACTACTGTCTCTTCTGATCAGGGACACAACAGATGGATCCTGATGGAACGGGAGAAAAATATGGCACAGAATTCAAATTCTTAAAAAATCCAGACTTGCTGGACGGGTTGAGACTAGAGGGACTCCCAAGACTATCGTCTTGAGATACCTTTTAAACTTTGAACTGAAACTACTCCCAGAGGTCACCTTTCAGTTAAATAACAGATTGGCTCATAAAAGAATCAATATCACCTGTGTGTACTGCGCTTCTTTTAAAAAATCATCTTTATGAGACCAAATGGTCAACATTTACTCTAAAGCAAAGCTGAGAAGGTAAGGGCAGAGGGTGGGGGGAGGGTGACAGAGAAACTAGAGTACTAGAAACAGAACAACCAGATTGGAAATGAGAATGTTGACACATTGTGGAAAATGTCACTGAACAATCTGTACACAAACTCTTAAATGGGAACCTAATATGCTGTGTAAACTTTTACAGAAAACACAATATTATTTACAAATAAAAAAAAGGACACACGCAAGCTTTCCTAAAAAAAGCAACTGTAGCAAAACAGGGTGTTATCCTCTTTTAATAGCTGCCTTTAATATTTGTCTTTACTTTTAAGATATATATGGCCTTTAACATAAATAAATCCCTTAAGGTAATAACAAAAATATCATATTAAATTAGATGTACAGAGAATCATAGAATGCTCAGAACCTGTTCATGTCCTAGTTTCTTTAATATACAATAAAGTTCTGAACTACATGATTCTTAAGGTCGCTAACTAGCTGGATATACAATTACTGCAGTAAAAATTTCATTTAGTTAAATCAATATATTGTTATTGTTGTTGTTAGGTGCTGTCAAGTCAGTTCTGACATATAACAACCCTATAGGACAGAGTAGAACTGCTCCATAGGGTTTCCAAGGAGCGCCTGGTGGATTTGAACTGCCGACCTTTTGGTTAGCAGCCGAACTCTTAACCACTATGCCACCAGGGCTCCAAATCAATGTACAAGTAACTTAAAAAATTAAGAGTTCTATCAGAAACACCAGAACCCCAAGCGCTAAAACACACGGCTCCCCAGAACTCTGACAGAACACCTAATTTTTTAAGTTACTTGTACATTGATTTGGAGCCCTGGTGGCATAGTGGTTAAGAGTTCGGCTGCTAACCAAAAGGTCGGCAGTTCAAATCCACCAGGCGATCCTTGGAAACCCTAAGGGGCAGTTATCTTCCGTCCTTCAGGGTTGCTATGAGTCAGAATTGACTCGACGGCAACAGGTTTTTTTTAATCAGAGTTATAAGCGATAGGCTATATTTGCACAAGTGACTTTCAAATATACGTAGATGATAAAAGATTCACAAAACATAGAAAATGTATATTTTCCTTGCCATAAAAAGTGACTACATATCAGAAAAACAAACTTACATTAAGTAAATTAAAACATTCTATTAATAAGCCTGGAAAATTCTGAGAATGCAGCACTGACTCATCACATATAATGTGGAGCAAGTAACCTTTGCGCTGCATGCAAATAGGGGACCTTTGTACATCTGACTGCTCAGATACAGGAAGATAGCTTCTAACTGTTTGGATAAAAGAAAAATATTGTTAATGATCAAAAGTGTATGCTCACCTTGTAAAAACTCCTCCTTGTAAGCAATGAAGCAGAAGAAAACAACGATGATCTTCTTGGCCTGCTTTCTTCAAATCGGCCTTGAACCAAGAATAACTAAAACACTGGACCACAAATGTTCCAAAGACTATAAAGGTTACTGTTAAAACACCAAAAACATATTGTCCTTCATGGAAAAACTTGACAGACACCCAGGTGTCCACAATCAAATCAAATATATAGATGAAGATGCCAAGAACTGACATAATAAAATTCCATTTAGTATATCTCATTATGAATCACTATAGCTCTTAATTATTTACTTTTTCTCTCATACAATAAGGAAAAAAATGCCAGAACAAATATTAGTGCAACCTTTGGTACAGGACTGAATTTTAGTTTCTATTCACTAAGTCTATTTACTTAAAGAATAAATACTATGGAATTGGAACACTAAAAGCAAAGTAACTAATTATCTTTTCAAAATCTCGAATTCAGGTCCAATGTTATAAGGCTTTATTCAATCTTCTGTTTCACAATGATCTTCATTACAGTTGACAATACCTAAAATGAAACATATATATGTTTCTAAAAATGTTGAATATAGTATTAAAAACCCTAGACTATGGCTTTATCAAAGCCTTCATTTTTCTAAAAATAATATATTATCATCAAACACAGTGCTTACAATAATAATGATAAAGTCTTGGAAATACAGCAACTAGGTGACATCTTCCTCTCAGAATACTTACTTGTTGAAAATATAACCTATTCACAAAGATATTTATCACAGAACCATTTATAATGCCAAGAAATTTGGAAACAACCTAAGTGCGTCAATGTGAGGAAATGGTAAATAATGGAACATTCATTCATATAATGGAATATTACGAAGCTACTAAAATACATTTAACAATGTCCAACTACCAGTACCTAATGTCCTGATCAGGGTCACAGCAAATAAATCCTCATAGAAAGGGAGAAAAATGTGGAACAGAACTTCAAATGCTCAAAGAACCCAGATTTATGCTATGAGTCAGAATTAACTCAATGACAACAGGTTTGGTTTTGGTTTTTATGAGACTAGAGGAGTGTCCAAGACTACTGTCCTGAGATACTCTTTAAACTTTAAACTGAAACTATCCCCTGAAGTCACCTTTTAACTAAATAGCAGGTTAACTTAAAAAGTAAAGAATATCACCCTTAAGTACTGTGCTCTTTTGAAAAATTAACTATATGAGACCAAATGGGCAACAGTTACTCTAAAACATGGATGATAAGGTTGAGGGACAGTAAGATGAAGTCAATGGGAATGAACAACTAGAATGGAAATAATGAGAATGTTGACACAATGTGAAGAATGTACCCAATGTCACCGAACAATATGTGTAGAAATTGCTGAATGGGGGAAAATATATATGTATATTTAACAAAAGTGTAGGTGCAAGAGCTGTGAAAAATCTTAATATGCTTTGACCCAGAAATTCCATCTAGGTATCTAGCCTAGAGAAATATCCACAAATGTGCACATACATACTCACTGCAGAACCTTTCTATAACAGCAAGAAATTGAAAACTACCTAAATGGCACCTGAGAAGCATGGTTCGGTAAATTATGGTAGATCCATACTAAACACAGCCTGTGAAAAGAATGAGGTAGCTTTGTATGAAGTGACTTTGGAAGATGTCCAAGACATATTAAGTGAAAAAATCAAGTGCCAGAAGGATAAATATACTATTTATGGTTTTTAATTATATATGAAGAGGGGAATAGGTTGGAAATAGAAGGTAACATGCAACTTTAATCACTGACTCAATATACTTCTATATTGTCTGAATTTTTTAAAACAGGTATGTACTAATGTTTTATGTATGTAATTTAATAAAATAAAAATAGAAAATGATGCCTACAAAGAATCTTGATGACTGAAGAAAAGGTTTGTTACTAATGGTAGCTAATATTTATTTAGCATTATGTGCCAGGCACCGAGGTAAATGTCATACATAAAATACCCCCATTTAATTCTTCCATCCACCTTGAGAAATACTACTATTATGATCCTTATTTTATAGGTGTTGGCTGAATCCAGCGCGTAGAAAAAATTTGTTTGACTCAGCAGTGTTTTTATTTTTCTAATTAATTGTCAACATTTCACACAAAAATTCAGATTTCTGGCTGCTATCGAAAGACTGACATATTTGATACACTAGACTAGCATTCCTTCATGAGCGGTGGCTGCCTCTCATAGACGGGCATGCTCTCTCCAGTTCACCACATTGCTCATCCAGCCCACTTCACTCATTTTGACTACTGAGTCTCAATGCTCATGCAGCAACCTACTATCTGGGTATCCTTAAGCATGTTATTTTACCTTCCTGTGCCTTGCTTTTTTCACCTGAAGTAAGGAGATAATACTGGTATGTATCCCATAGGACTATAGTAAAGTTTAAGTAAGATAAAACCCTAGAAAAGTACTTGGCACACAGCTAGGGCTCAATAAATGTTAGTTATAATTATAACCTTGCCTGTGAGCATGAGAGTTTACAATCTCTGACTTCACATTACATACTGTTAAGTTAAAAAGTACTATAGCATGATCTTAAAGCTTTTAATATGCAAAGGGAAAGTGACGGGTAAAATAACAAAAACATTAACGGTGGTTATACATTCCTTTTTTTCTTTATTCTTTTCTATAATTTCTACAAAGAACATTACTTTAAAAATCGGGGTGGAGGTGTTACTAAACGCACACACACTAATACTTACAGTGTTCCTGTCATTTTTTATCCCTTATAAGTAATTTGTTTAAAAGTTTTCAGAATAATACTAAAAGATATTTCACTCTTCCTACAGGATAGAACAAAAGTTCATTATCACTACTTTCCCTACCAAGAATGTTGTGATCAACAGGACAGAAAAGATGATTTTACAGCCTGAGTTTTTCCAATCTAGCAGGCCGTAAGTTTCCCAGTGGGTTTCTAATTTAATATGAAATACATCATGCCCAACCTAAGCAAGGAGTTTAGGAAGATGAGATTTAATCAAAACGTTCCATTCAATTGCATTAATTAAATATTCACTTAGAATCCACCATGTTCTATTTTAGGCTCCTGGGATATATCAAGTGGCAAAAGTGACAAAAACCCCAGCCCTTGTGGAACTTACCTCCTAGCAGAGAGAGAAAAATCAATTAACAATAAAAATAATGAATAAATAATTTTATTAGAAGGTGATAAGTGGTATGGAAAAAACATAGAACGTGGTAAAAAAGATGGGGAGTTGAGTAAAGGTGGGCACATCACAGGTTGTAATTTTAACCAGAATGGCCAGGGCCAGCCTCACTGAAAAGGTAGCATTTGAGTGGAAGAGGATTAGCCATGCGGATATCAAATGGAAAAGATTTCCAGTCAGAAGGAAAAGCCAGTTCTAAAATCTACTGTACTAGGTTTCAAATATTTTCTCCAGAAACAGAAGATCCAAAAACACTGGCAGAATTCCTTAGTATGGTTATACTGGGTATGTTTAATTTGTATCCAAGTCTTGTTCTAATGTCTTATAAAAAGTACAATTCCTTAAGCTTTACTATCTAAAGAAAAATATACATTGCATTTGTAGTGAAAGAATAGATACCAATAATAGCAACTATCATTACTGTTTAAACCAAAAAACCCACTGCCGTCAAATCGACTCCAATTCACAGCAACCCTATAGGACAGAGCAGAACTCCCCGCAGGGTTTCCAAGCAGCAGCTAGCGGATTCAAACTGTCAGCCTTTTGATTAGCTGCCGTAGCTCTTAACCACTGCGCCACCAGGGCTTCTCATTACTGTTTACCACATGTGAAATGCTTTGCATACATTATTTCATATAATCTTCCCAAATCCTTATGAGAAGGGTATTATTGGCCTTATTTTACAGATCAGAAAACTGAGGCTTATAGATGTTGGGTATTTAGGTGAATTATCGCTAAGAGTAAGGTCTGTTTGCCTCCAATGCCTGGGTTCATAACCACAATAATACACTACCAAGTCTGGAGGGGAACAGCAGAGATCATTAATCATTGTTTTTACATGACACTTAGGCATAGCACTCTACAGATGTGAGATAGACTGGAACCATAATGTGTTACACTTTTTTCTGTAAAAGGATAAATGGGACGGGGGGATTGTAGTTAAAATTACAAAGAAGGTGATATTTTACCCTTAGATAATAAGTAAAAATATTTAACTTATTTTCCACTGACTCTTCTCAGTAAAACTTTATAATCTAATAACATGTTCAGAAGAGTAAAACTCTTGTCTACAATACAGTGGCTGAGCTAAAATTCCACTTAAACGGATTTTGAATGTAGATCATTTTCTTAAAATTACAGACTATAATACTAAACACTCCATGTGTGTATTTCTTAATCTTTCTATCCATAAAGAGAGTTTCCTTTAGTTGGCATATATAAGGAAAACAGTAACAGTTCTGAGTCAGTTTTACGAGATGGGAAGAATAACTTCTAAGGAACTTAGAAATTGTATTCATGGCATAACATCAGACTCAAAAAATCTAAGACGGCAACATTTATATTTCTAATTTAGTCAGGCAGAACATAAAGACAAATGGAATGAAACCTAGCAAGCTCATATATACAGCAGCTCTTATAAAGAGGGCCAGCGGCTCTTTCAATAACCACATCACTGTGTAACTTACATGAAGGATATAGTTCATCTCTATCTCTACAGCATACCACTGTTCCAATACCACCTTAGAAGAAATAATGCCACCCACGCAACTTGGCTTCATAGGGACTTTTGACACTTACTGACTAAATAGGTCCTTTTCAATCCAATTCACTCAGAGTTTCAACCCAGCTGTGTGGATGCCAGCCAAAATACATAACCTTCGCCCACTGTATACGATCCCTTTGCAATAAAACCAAATACTTGGAAGAAGTAACAACTAGTAAACTTTTACTTGTCAGCCAAATTTTAAACAATACATAAAATGTAGACTTACTTGTCGAATATAAAAATCTTTCTTTAGCTCAAAGTCACTTCTGGAAAATCTTCATTCTCTGAATCATATACCTTCTTCAATGAAAACTAGTATAATTGAAGTGCATGTAAACCTTTAAGATCATATACTGAAATGAAACTGATATCACCTGTTAGTCATGTGACATTTTCTAACCTAGTGATAACAGAGTTTGTATCAAGTGACTACAGTGACATCCCTTTATAACTACCACACTGGGGGAAGGACTAACATGGCACCTCTTATAGGTTGACTAGGTTACAAGCTTTCATTTTATTTTTAAAAAAATACAATATGCCTCGCAGCATACCCAAGTGGGTAACAAGCCATGTTTAAAAGAGGAAGATTCTTGAATTTGAAATATTCTGATAATTTACAAAATAGTTAACTTAGCCATACCTACTTTTTCAACCTGTACATCTTCTCAAATCTGATGCCCCAAGAACATATGATTGGCCTCTATTCCCAAATTAAATACTACATTTCTTCCATTTCCAAGTCTTTGCTCAAAGTATCTATTATCTAAAATATCCTACCTCCATCTGCCTCATTCTATCAATTGTTTAAGAATCACTTTTACGCTTTCCCAGATCCTCCCAATCCACATGACTCTCCCCTTTCCTCCTTGCATTCCTGTAACTTTAGCTACACTTCTAAGATTTACCTACATTTGCTGTTACGGATCGAATTGTGTCCCCCCCCAAAATATGTGTTGTAAATCCTAACCGCTATACCTGTCGTTATAACCCCATTTTCAGATGGGTTTTCTTTATTATGTTAATGTGACTGCATTAATGTAGAGTATGTCTTAAATCAATCTCTTCTGACATATAAAAGATTTAAAAAGTAAGTGAGCAAGCAGAGATGTGGGAAGAGAGATGCCAAGCCACATGAAGATTACCCAAGAGCAGAAGCTCAGGAGACAAGGGCCTTCCTCCAGAGCCGACAGAGAAACAATGCCTTCCCCTACAGCCAGTGTCCTGAATTTGGACTTCTACCCTCCTAAGTTGTGAGAAAATAAATTTCTGTTGGTTAAACGGACCCACTTGTGGTATTTCTGCTACAGCAGCACTAGATAACTAATAAAATAAGGTTGTGTATGTCTCTCCCATGGTTCTGAACCTCTAGAAAGCAGGCTGTCTTACTCATTTTCAACGAACTCCCCTGCAGACCCCCCACACGTCTACCACAATACTTTGCATTTTGTAGGCAGACGATAAATGATTGTCAAATGTAACTAAATGGGATGTAAAAATCTTTGGTCTCATTTCTTGAAAAGGAACTTAAAACTACAACTCTATGAAGAGCTCTATGGTCCAGAAATTACTGCTCCACTCTCTTCTCCAAGGTTCACTGACTTTCCAGTCTCAGTTCTTTAGAAAGTGAGTATGATAGCTTCCATTCTGAACTGATGATGGCTAGAAATAAACATTGGTGGGTTGAAAATGCCTGCTGTGAGAGATGTTGATGGTTACTCCAAAGCATCTTTTTTTTAAAAAATAAAGGGCATATTGCTTGCGTCCACATGTGCAAAGGGCATACTTTATATGATTACCTCAGATTTTTGAAATACTTTTCCAATAAAAGTACATCTTTGAAACACAAGGTAAAGAAATTTTCCACACATAATACAGGTGTCTTTCAACAAATCTGGTATACTAATTTGTAAAATAAATACACTTAATAAATTAGCAGATAGCCTTTGCTTCAAAAATATATGCAAATATATTGAATGTTAGAGAATATTAAAAATGCTTGTCCCACATTTTAGAACTGTAAATATCCAATATGTCAATTTTTCATTTCTTTAGAAAAAGAGTGGGCTGGGGAGATATGTTCTACACCTCTTTATAGATAGTGGTTACAGGTTTACACCCAATTGTCGTAATTTGATGAAAATGATCGTTTAGGACCTCGGCACTGTCTTTTAGGTAAATTATAACTTTTTTTTTTTTTTTTGGTAGTTAATACAAGGGCTGAGTTGCTGGGCGGATTAGAAAAGGCTTCGTTAGAGAAAATAAGTCCCTTAACATCTTGGGCACAAAACTCCTTCACAGACCCACCTGGGAAGCCAGGCAGCACAGAGGAGGAAGCAGCTTCCTGGTGAGTGACCCCACATAGGTGCAAGTCAGATAGGAACGAGGCTCCAGAGGAGACCAGCTAGGTTCACATAGCTCTGTAACGCGCCGAAGTATCCAAGCCTCCATTTTTTTCATTTATGTAAAATGGAGATTAATAGGGCCTACTTCTTAAAGTTGTTGTGAGGGTTAAATGAGATGACGTTTGTAAAAAGCCACTTAGCACATCAGTAAGTGCTAAGTGAGCATTAGTTAAACGAAAACCCATTGCCGTGGAGTCTATTCCGACTCATAGCGACCCTACAGGACAGAAGAGAACTGCTCTATAGGGTTTCCAAGGAGCAACTGGTGGATTCGAACTGCCGACCTTTTGGTTAGCAGTTTTAACACTTAACCACCGTGCCACCAGGGCTCCAAACATTAGTTACAGCTACTTATTTTGAAAGATAAACAGACTACTCCTTGCCCTCCCTCACCTCCCCTCACCTAAGCCTGACGAGCACTCCTTCTCCAGATTCAGTCAGTAACCCCAAACCTGCCTGCCCCTTGCGCCACCACACAATTCCCCAGATTAAAATGTCTCTTGTTCACTTTGGTGAAATTGCCTGACGCAACCAGTTTCTACGAGAGGGGGCAGCGCGCCGCCTGGCCTCACGCCACCTGGCCTCACGCCACCTCTCACCACGCGCGGGCGAACTTCCTCCTGCCGCCGCTTACGCAGAATCACGTGACAACTTGCCCCACATCCTCTCCCCCTAACCGCGTCCAGCGGCCGATTCGCTCCCGTCGCCGCTTGCGCGGGGTCACGTGACA